CCCTTCAACAAAAGTGGATTACATTTGGGACACTTTATCTCTCTTAAAAGTAATATCACTTTTTCTTACCCTGTCTTTTCTTTTTTTTCTTTTTTTATAGCAACTTTAAAGTAGTACAAATACGATAGAGTACGTGGATACAATAAAACAAGGAAATATTGATAAGTACGTTTAGAGAAATAAAAAAAAAAAACTTTCAAAACCTGTTATATATCAGCGACGCTCATAAAGCATCGTAATAATATCTGGAATATTTCCGAGTAAGATAGAAGAGGACACATCCTAAATCCATTGACGGATTTTAGTGGTGGTTTTGGTTTATCCATTCAACGCTCAGGCAATATAGCAAAGGAACCTCCTGTAAATTAGGGGAAACTCTCCTATACACTTTGCATAACGTTCCAAATTCAATATCCCTTATATAGGGTGGTATATATATATATATATACTGGTTTGAATCATCCAAAGGGATTTCATGCGAGAAAGAGGAGAAAAAAAAGATGAAAAAAAGGGCAAGGAAAAAAACCCCCATCAAAAGGATTTAAAGGTGTAATATTAAATATAACATTGAAGATTTATTTTAATTTACAAGATATAAAGATTGAAGTTTTTATCAAAAGGCAAAAAAAAAATTGTTAGAGATAGAGAAGAAAAAAAAAATAAAAAAAATTAGAAACGGTAGAGAATAAAAGAAGATGAATAAACTTGGTAAATCTCTGACGATGAAAAAATATATTCAAACACGCAATCCCAATAAAATCCTACTTCTTTTCATCCCCTTACTTCTTTCCCACTTTATTTATTTATTCTATTCTTTATTTTTCTCGTCGTTTTATAAGGGGTTGAAAACGTAAAAGCAGTCAAATAAGTGTCACCTCGGTACCAGTGTTTTCTAAAAACAAAACCGAAAACCCTCAACAAAACGTTTCGCTATTTTCCATTCGTCACGCGTCTTAGGTTAGTAATACCCGTAGTTTGTTCTTCGTGTTGAATAATTACAGACATTTCTCTCTCTCTCTCTCTCTCTCTCTCTCTTTTGCTTTCAAATATTGCTTTTCTAGAGAAAGAGAGAAACAACTACATAATTGGCAGGGTCCTACGTAAAAAGAACGAAATAAAATGGAAAAAAATTAAAAAAAACAAATTCACACAATTCGTACACAAAGGTATTTTTAAATAGCGATTTAAACTTTACCGAAATACGTTCAAAGAGATAGAAACAAAAAAACAAAAAGAGAAGAAACAAAAATGGATGTATACGAAAGAACGTTTTATAACAAAATATTTGAAAATTCTGCGCAAATTGAAAAAAGAAAGAGAGAAAAATAAAATAAAGAAGACAAGAAAGAAATATAGGAGAATAATTAAAATGAAATAGTTTAAAAAAAATTGAAATAAAACAAAAATGGCAAAGATAGAGGATAAACATTTATTTCACACATATTCACAGAAGATATATAGATTAAAATACATATATATATATACATACCTCTAGGCCCAGATCACGTGGTGCACGACAGCATAGCAGCTTCCTTCTCACCGAAATTTCGATTAAATTTCAATTTCATTTATCGTTACTCATCGCATTGGTTCGTTATCCTTTCGTTTCGTTTCTCGTTTCGTTCTTCTTCTTTTTCTTTTTTATTTTTCTACCCCCCCTTGTACCACCCTAAAAGTTCACTTCTATCTCGGCAATGAATTTGATTCTATCTCGCGAGACCCCCAAACCTCGTGGTAAAGTCAATCAAACGTTTCTTCTTTCTTGCCTTTCGTATATTGCTTTTCGAATTGGTATCATGAATAATTGTTTATCTAATTTCACGAAAGATCCAATAATTCTCGATTGTTCTTCTTGTTCAAGAAATTTTCTATCAATTTTATTTGGTTTAACGTGTTGATCCACATCGATGTTAGAGAATGCGAACGATGCATTCTGGTTATCTAAAATATGTGAAAACAACTCTGATATGTGAGATAGACATTGAACGAGATGAAAACACAGATAGAAAGAGAAAACAGAGAATGAGTATGAAAACATGTTATTTTTTTTTCGTATCGATTTAATTTCAATATGCATATACTAWGCAATTTTTTATTTTATTTTAATTTTATTTTTTTGTTCATGTTATACGATACCTTTTAACTTCGTGTGAACAAATTCGATATTTGTTATTTCGATAGCTCGTAAGAAAGCAAATGAAAGATAGAAAGAAAGAAAGAAATAAAGAATAAAATATTATATACGATATAATAGAGATAGAAATGTATTTCATATCTATTTTATATTTCATAACCTTTAACAAAGTAAAATAAAATACAAATATTAAAAAAAAAATCCTCTTCGTTAACGAATGCAACGAATTCCACGTAATATATGGGATAAAAACTTTTCTCATTTTTAGTTTGATTTTTTTTTTTTTTTTAAAGCTTTTCACTCACACTATAGAATAATTAATCTCTTTAATAATTGCACTTATCAACTGGGTTGCTAAAAATTCTGTTAGTTTGAACCCATCTGAACAAAAAAMAAAATAAAATAAAATAAAGAAAAAAAAAACTATGTGTTTACTACCGATAAAATTACGCACCCTTAATGTTGCAACGTTTAAATAAAACACGAAGATAAATTTATCTGATACACATACCATACATACATATATATATGTATATATATATACTTTAAAGTAGCCAACCCCGCGTGTACATGGATCGTGTACATTCTTCCGTGCAAAAAAAGATGCTTACTAATTAATCACGGTTGGTTTCATCGTTGTGAAAAATTTCACGCAAGATTGATCGAATAAATACTATAAATAATCTTTTACATATAACAACGACGTCTATCTACACACTTGGAAAGAAAGAACACGCATATATATATATATATATATATATATATATATATATATATATATACCTACACGTATTTTTACACACGTGACAAGATGATACAAAAACGATCGACAAACTCCACTCACTCACTCACTCACTCACTCACTCACTCACTCACTCAATCATTCTATCTCTCTTTCCTATTAACTTGTTATAAACATTGTTTTATTATTTTATTTTTTTAATTAAAATGTTTCAAACAAGTCGAAAAGAATGAAAGAAAGAAAAAAAGACAAAAAGAAATAAATTAAAAAACCCCTTTTCTATTACAATATACCATTTTCTAATATTCACCCTGTCTATACGTCCGTCAAATATCTGACCGAGATATTTTATTTCTACTCTTTTTCTATTTACTTCACCTACCAACCCCCAACTCACCCCCATATTCTTTCTCTTTTTTTTATGTTCTCTTTTTCTTCTTTTATTTTTGCATTCTCTTTTCAGCCTTTTCCCCTAGCCCCTGTTCAACCCCATCTCACTCACCTTCACATCATCTCACTTTTTACCCTTTTTTTTTCCCCCATAACAAGTTTCAAGTACCATCACCTATGCGCAATCTAATTTTCTCCGTACTGACGAAAGCACCGATTCACACACGCAATTCTATCCTTAATTATGCATTTTCTCGAATGAATGAGAAATGAAACTGATAAATGCAAAATAATAAAAGTGAATTACTTCGAAATCGTTGGATAAAAGTTAAGGGTGAAAGAGAGAGAGAGAGAAAGAGAGAGAGAAGAAAAGACAAAAGGGAAATATATTTTAAAGAGACATTTCTTTCCCTTTATCTTTCAATCTTTATTAAAGGAAACTCGAGTTCACTTTTTTATACAATATTTATGTATCGAAACTCATTAAGGGGATCCAGCTAATAAGAGATTGGCGCTCAGCGACCTTTAATATTTTTCATCTACGTTTCTTTTACCTTTTCTTCCTTCTTTCTATTTTTCTTTCTTTCCATTTCCTTTCTTTTCTTTTATTTTCTTTTTTTCCTTACGAAAGCAATATTCCAATGAGTAAAAGAAGTAGGGGAGAAGGTGGTACGATTCTAGTGTAACAGAAAAATGGTAAGAAAATTGGAATAACATAAGCTTTTTGAGGGTAATTTAAAATCTACGAATATGTTAACTTTTTGAATACTGAATTGTTTAAAGATTTTTATACATACATATATAACAAATTTACTTTGTTGTTATATGGATTGATACGTGAAAGTAATAGATGTTATTTGGAATATATTTATATTGATGATATAAATTATATATTTATATATAATATATTTATAATTATTAATTTATTTTATAATATATTATATTATATATTTTATATATTTACATATTTATTTTTTACATATTTTAATTATATTTTAATTTAATTATATATAATTTAATATTATATTTAATTTATATATAAATTTAATAATATATATTTTAATTATATAATTTATATATTTTATTAATTTATATAAGCTTCTGAAATTCAGAAGACGAGTCAGACTCGTTCGCCGTAACTTCGCCCAAGTCAGTAGATGACGAGTCTGACTCGTCAAATGTACCCCAAAGGGATTAAGGACACTTTTGTAATTTCTCTTCTTCTTCTTCTTTTTCTCCTTTATTATTATTTTTTTTATTATTTGTTTTGTTATTTATATAAGAACAGCTTCGACATATTAGATCAATAATGTAATACTCCTACGGTTTATTTCTTTTTCTATTTCTCTATTTTTCCTTTAGGATAGAAAAACGTTGTTAGGGGGTGTCGTGTCAGCAGAAAATAAAATAAAATAACGGGGAGAAAAGAATACAATGCCGTAACTCATCCACGTACTATAGTAATAGAAACGTAAACTATCATGTAACCACTGTATCAAAGATTTACTTTCGTTACGCGTACTTTAAAAACGATAAACCTCTAAATCTCTTTCCCTTTTTTCCCTCTTCTCACCCTCCTCGAATACTTAATACCTTCGTTTCAACTTTTAAATCGTATTTCTCTATCATGATTGTTCAACTTAATCGAATAAAGTCATAAGTAACTTTGATAAAAGTTCTACGAAACAATGCATGAACTACTTTCCTACTCTCGAAACAAAATAATAAAATAATAAAATAATAATAATAATAAGAATAAAAACAAAAAAGAAAAAGAAAAAAAACTGAAAGAACATAAATTACATTTAAGTACAATGTTAATACATTATTAACATTTTTAAATTTAAAAATGACAACAAAAAATAAACAATTTATTCGCGTATCTCAAATATGTAATATTTTATTATTAATTTTTTATTTTTTATCATTATTATATTTATTATATATTGTTTATTATATATTTTTTTATATGTAACATTTTATTATTAATTTCGCATTATTTATTATCTTTTTTTTATTTTTTATTATCAAAACAAGTAACACATATATTTTCTTTCTTCTTCTTCTTCTTCTTCTTCTTCTTCTTCTTCTTCTTCTTCTTCTTCTTCTTCTTCTTCTTCTTCTTCTTCTTCTTTCTCTTTCATTTCTTTTCTTTTTCTATCTTACGAATCGGCACGTGTTGTTTTATCGATCAAATTTTTCACAACGTTCGAAAGATTTACAATTTCAATCAACATAAAACAAGCTCCTAGGGCTTTATAAATTCACATATACCTATATGTATATACATATATACATCAGAATAGGAGTTTATCGTAGTTGATAATGACATTACGCGAAGTATATAAATCTCACCGGTGATGTTTACTCCTACGATGAGAGAATTGTTTAGGACGAGTGCAATTAAGTTGCAATGTCGTTTCGAAATTTCGCGGACTAGTTCGCTTAGGAAGGGTAGAACCTTCCAATAAACGTTGAAACTGATAATGACATACGATCAGTATTAAAACGGTTCATATATAAATGCATTTTAACAACCTTTACGATCATTTTCGTCTATAACATTTTATCATTAAATTCTAAACATAATACAAACAACAAAAGATTAATAATTAATAAACTTAATTTTTAGGATTCATACCTGCTAATGTGTATCCCACGTATTCAGAGAGGGTGAAGTAATAATTTTACACAATTAATTTAGAAAATACAGTCAAGTGTCCTCCTCCCTCACAATCTTTGTGATCGTAAGATCAATTTGTATGGTATGTTACACACGATATTGACACTAAAATGAAATAAAAACAACAAATGTGGGTGATAAATTTGAACTTGGATCAATTTGTCAAAATCAATCAAAGTTGATCGTTCCAGGGGGTTGGTAAATTGATATAAAAATGATGTTAATATGTTAGCGAATGAATAGAAGCGAAATATAGTGAAAAAATTACGAGATAAAAATCGTAAGAACCCGCTGCAGCAGCATAATTCATGAGAAACGATCCGAACGCTTTGGCGTTCGGTATCGAACTGAACACTTCTCGTCGCTAGCTCACCTACTGATGCTGGACGTGTTGCTATCACAACGAACGTTATCACACGGTCATCCCCAGTCTTCCCGGGGATGCTGAGCAGCAGTACCAATAATACTCACTGGCGGTAGAAGCAGCACTTTTCCCTCTCCCTTTTCACCCTTTTTCTTCTCTTCATTTTGTTTTATTCCTTTCTCTTTCTTTTTTTCTTTATCTCTTTTTGTTTTTCTACCCTTCCAATGCATCCTTCCTACCTTCCTTCCTACCTTCCGAATTAATTACCCTACCAGAACAACGACTATCTACCAAACCCTTTTTTAGGTCACATTCCTTTTCACGTTACCAATGACTTTTACTTAATGGAGAAGGGAACATATAATTCATTATTTAAGGTTAAATCGAGGTTAAATTCGATATTCCAATAGGATTGCGAGATCTGTGACATACATCTAATACATGTATATATGTATGCATGCATGCATACATACATGAAATTTATAATATACTTACATACTCGACGACACCTACGTACTGGCCGAGTTTAATAAATTGTCTCCATATACAATTTCCCTTTTTGTTTTTTTATTTTTTACGAATAAAACACAACCACTTTAGCTAATGAAAAAAAAGAGTATATACTGAACAAACAATTAAAATTACCCGTGTGGAATGTGTCTATTAGTATATGATTAATATTCAGGAAAAAAAAGAAGAAAAAACAACTCTCTGGGTTCCTGGGTTCCTGGGTTCCTGGGTTCCACGTGTTATCTTTCTTTGTTTTACCTTATTTCTATTTTCTTTTATTATTATCTTCTTCTTCTTTTTTTTTTTGCTTGTTCCTTCTTCCTTCTTTTTATTTATTTTTATCATAGTATCCCTTTTCGATAAGTAAAACAAGTTAATGAGCATTGTATTCTATTGAAGATATCGAATGTACGAAACAATGAAGGGTACATTTGATTCATTGGACAGGATAGAAATGTTCATTTTACATAAGAATAGCTCTCGATAGTTACAATGGAAGCTAAAATTATCAATACGACCAGTTTACATGTAGATGTGTTTGTGTGTGTTGATTTCTTTAAAAAATTGTTTCATATCCTTATCAATGTAACCACATTCGAAAATTCTGTTTCATCCACCGTGTATCGTGTACTGTCGGTAATGAAGATTCATGTTATATCGATAAATATGTCTACTTTTTGTTATGTTATTAATTATTTTTTATTGATAAGATCATTTCAATCGACATTCGTTATTATTAGGTTCTTTCATTATTATTAATGATACTTTTACTTTTGTGAAGATTGATTTGAATTTAATTTGTATGTTAAATATACTTCTTCATCATATTTTAACTTCAAAGCTCCCTTTTTTTTTTTGAATCTCATTACGATCATTAATTTTCACTTTGAAAGATTCATAAGCTCAATTAATTTCTTCCAACCTTTTGACAAAATTTGTCCTCTCAATTTGAATTTCTTTGAAAAACTCTTGAAAAATAATAAATTTACATTTTCATTTAATTGAAAGAAGTTCAAAGTGAGACGAACAGATGGAGCTAGTTGTCATTTTGATTAATAAATTAATTAACCAATAGAAAATAATTATCCCACTTTGTTATATACATTTGTCACCAGATGGTAGCACTATTAACATTAAACGTTGATTATAATCTTTTATAATTACCTTTTTATAAGTAATAATTAATAGCTCATAATATAAAATAAAAAGAAAATGTTTAATAATATTACAATTATATTTTTTGTTGTTATTTAAAGATCTTACATTTCACTATGATTTAATTTAATTGTTTGGATCTCTTCGCGTATGAAAATAAATTGAATTGTATGCATCTTAAAAGGCGCCTGTTACTTAAACCCTCAGAATTAATATTCGGTCTGTTGGTAATGGGAAAAGCGACAGAAGCTGCCACTGTTTCCAACTCTCTCCCTTGTATATCTTTTAAGCTGCAATGGAATGCGTGATGCGTCACGTACATATGTATGTATGGAACCACATGTAACACGTAATCGTTTTTCATCTAACGATGGTGTCATTTCGCTCTGACATGACAGACTCACAAAAAAAAAAAAGAAAAAAAAAACGAGTAGAGAATTTGAATTCCCATAAAAATTTATAAAAACTTAAATATTATACGTTATTTGTATTTTCTACATTTTTATGGAAAAAATAAATATTTATATTATATTAATTATAATTAGTATAATTATATAATTATAAATTATTATTTAGTATTTATTATATATTTATTATTATTTTATTATTATATATAATATTTAAAATTATTATTATATAAAATTAATATTATAATTAATTACAATTTTTCTCTATTAAATTAATCAAAACAATAACTTTTACTACGTGATTCAAACTTCAACTCGCATTATTATTATTTATCCTTCGTAAAACGTTCCTGAACATATAGTCTAACGAAATACCCATTTATTGATTTTTCCTTTCTTATTTGCTAGCCAATAATACTATACTTTGTAAGATATGGGGTATTTTGGAATTCACGTTGCCAGCTAGTAAATTTGAATTCTACAAGAAAGTTTACCACAAGAACGTGAAGACGATATAATCCAGGCAGATAAACGACATGCTAGCCCCTCTCCTCATACTCTCCTCCCCCTCTTCCGCGACATCTCACCACGTTGACCTTTTTCTTATCGACGTTAAACTTCCCACCCCCATGAAACTCTCTTAAGTTGTTAGAACAAACTCCTCATTAAACTTTGACGTTCTATTTTTAATTATCTTCGTGGAATAAAACGCGTTTGACAAATTATAGGTTATAAATAGATCGTTCCTTGTAACTGCGGTCTTACATCCTTCTCGTACAAAAGTTACATTATGATCATTATTTATTTTTTTTTAATAATAACATATATAGATATATTCTAATCAGAATGGTTAAGTAAGATATTATTCTAACTTAATAACGTCGGATTTTTTATAAATGTTATACAATTAACTAAATTCAAGATTATTTACGAGTCAATTCAGGATTTAATCTGGGTTCGTGTCTCGTAAATCAATTTTATTTTTATTCGTTCTCTTGGTAATTGAAGAAAGTTCAGATAAAAATGATCTCATTATTTTGGTAAAGAAAAAAAAATATAATTTCGATTTTATCATTAAAGATATATATATATATAACCTCACTTTTCCCTGATGGTCTTGAAATTTTGACACAATTTTACATTCGCATACAACTAGGTTTTTATTACATTAAATTATTTATAAAATTATTAATTATTTCAAAAAAGAAAGAAAAAGATACATATGTAAGTTCAACACCATCTATTGGTCATAGATTTTGATGAATGCGCGAAAAATTTGAACATAACCTAACTTGTATCTATATGAGCCACATTTTGGCTCACATGATTTACAGTAACGCGTGGTGGGGCACATATATATGTATATTTTGTTGTTGTGCTTTATTCAAATTTCATAAATCTCTAATACATTCAAATATATATATATAATGTATTCTTACGAACGTGGGAAAAAAAGTGTTTTGCAAACTCTTCGAAACAAACGATTTATGATAATTACGAAATTTAGTTTAATAATTATTTCTGAGATTATCAATGAGAATTTACTAATTAATCTGTTTCACAATAGCAAAAAATAAAAAAATAAAAAAGAATTACGTAGTAGTATACAACGTAGATCAAAAGTAGAACGTAATCGCAATTTTAAGCCGAACGTAATGTATGATTTCAATTATATTATAAATTATTTGATGTTAGCTAATATTTTAGGAACGTTATCGTATTCGAGAACACCTGTTACATTGTTATCAATTCTACATTCCTCAAAATATGATGTTCTTTCAACGACACGATTAATGAAAAGACACTTGTACATACTCAAACGTTTTCACAATTCTCATTATACTATTATATTTTTATCTTCATTATACACAAATGAACAAGACTATTTTTTTTTAAGATGTTACAAGAAATAGCTTACATGTTTCTATAGTTATGGTTTTTTAAGGATGAGTTTATGAACATTTAATCGAAATATTACATACATAAAATAATGAAAGGTTCAAACTACGAAAATTTAGTAATTTATTCATTAATGTCTAATTTTTTATTTTCTAGAATCAATGTGTTCGTAGTTATACCTTTTTCTATATTTTAAAAATCAATATTCTATTACTCTTTTCTATCGTATCTATAATCAAGGAATGATATTTCAATTTCCTACATAACCTATTAATCTTTCGTCAATTCTTATATTACATTATAATAGTTATTTTATTTTATAGTTTAATAGATCAATATAATTATTTTATATATATTTGAATTATTATTTTAACAGAAGAAACCAGATTTTTATTAATATCTGATAATTTATATTAATTAATAATTAATATAATTATATTGGGTTAGCAATTAATTCATTCGTGGTTTTAAAAGGCCACCTATCGACAAAATTTGCAAACATTTATTTGCCAATCTAATATTATATTAATTAATTAATAAGTTACAATAATATATAATATAATTTTATTTATAATTTTATTACATATTTTAATATATATATTTATTATTAATTAAATTATTAATAATTTATATTATTAAT